AACAATTATGAAACAAAGATTCCTCGAAACCCAACTTTTCTTCGTATAATCTTGACACGTTAACCACAACGCTACATTGCCACGAGTCTCCCTGAGTAACAGGGCAGATGTGAATTTCAAGGAATGCCTGGCCTTTTCCATATCACATTCTGTGTTGAGGTTACCGATAAAGCAAACATATATTTGCTATAGCAATCGACAAATACTTTTTTCGTGAGTCAGTAGGTTTTCGAGATTACCAGCAAATCAGTTATATGAGTTATGTTCACCCTACCAGTCCTTCATCCCTGTAAACGAAATATGGTCAACATAACCCATATAACTGATTTACTGGTAATCTCGAAAACCACTCACTACTCACTCACGAAAAAATTAATTTCGTCGATTGCTATAGCAAATATAAGTTTGCTTTATCGACAATCCCGACAGAAAATGTGGTATGGAGAGTGCCTGACATTCGTTGAAATTCACATCTGCCTTGTGACCCAAGGATACTCGTGGTAATGTGGCGTTGTGGTTAACGAGTCGAGATTACACACTGCACTGTCATTGTTCGACTTCCGCTGGGGTTGTTGATAAGACCCAGGCGAGGACGAAACTACAGCCCATCCTGGGGGAGAACAACTTTTTGGGAAAGCAAGGCTTTATGAAATTCAATGGAACACATCAGATCTACTCATATCATTGTCCTTCATCGCCTTAAACGAAATATGGTCAACATAACTCATATATTAAAGTTGTTCATCATGGTTTTTCCTATCGGCAGAAGCTCTACGTTTTTCCTTCATTCAGCATCCTTTAGAATGGTGTCTTTAATAATTGTCCTCATGCTACGACGATTACAAGCGTAAATGTAATTGTTAAAAGGACAGTACCCTAATAAATGAGCTCATCACCATCGAACTGGCAGGTTGGGAGGAGGGCAGCGCATGCTGATGTTGTGATTAACCTCCGTTTCAGGTGATGCCGAACCTGACGCTGCTCGGACCGACCAGCGACCTGGCGCCGGACAGACGAAGGCCACCAGACGGCGCCAGCTCGTCTCCGCCCCGAGTCCGGCGCCGCCGATCGTCATGACCTCCATCTCAGACGACCCAGAGACCCTCGGCGCATCGTCACTCAGGCCAGCGTCCAGCATAACGACGGCGCCGGTCGGCCGATCTCGTTCACGACTGGACAGCGTCGGGTCAGTCGTGAAGGTGGTCCGTGCCAACTCAGCCGGACCAACTGGACCAACCGGACCATCGCGACAGGAGAGGCCCCCATGCACTTCACTGTCTCGGCAGACGGACTCGAGGCCTGGCCGCATCTCCGACCGGCCAGAGAGGCCTCCTTTTCGGTCTAACTCAGCCGCCCGCTGTTCCGCCTGCCTGTACCTGCAGCAAAGTTGGCGCCAGAGCCAGCCGCTGCCTGGCGCACCTTCGCCCCCTGCCGACGGCGTGGACGTGGCCGGGTCGTCAGGCTGTCTCGCCCACCGTGACCACCGAAGGGTCTCGGATGGGCCAGCAACAGTCCGGCCTGCTACCAGTTTTGCTCAGTTCCAGCCTGATGAATTCAACGATGCTCCGTTTTGGAGCCACTGCTCGAGGTCGGAAGAGGTTGGTCGAAGTTGAACGGAAAGCGATGGCAGGTGGAGACTTTCTAGAAAAAGATTCCAATTCTGTTCGGTAAACAGAGGAACTAGGTTTCGAAGAGTCCCTTGATGAATTAGTGTTGTTGGCTCGTCATTTCGTTCGGGAAGGCGGGTGAAAGTGCTTCTTAATTTGGCCCCACCGGGAACCAAAAGTGGCTTTGCACGAAGAGGTTTTCAGCTGCCCAAATCTCAATTCGCTGATCTTTTGTCTGTTCCTCTGTGAGTGTGAAACAGTTGTTTGGTTTCCTAAAGAATCGTGTCACGACCCAGCATTGTCTATCCCTCAGGGAGGGGGTGGTTTAAGATCACAGTACGGTGAGCCGATGTCTTATTCGCAGAAACCCTTACTTGCAACTGCAAAGCCATCCTTCTTCGGTTCCCCGTTTGGCCAGCTTCCATATCTCTGTCATCCGCCTTTCCAGAGGAACTGAGAGGTCAGCCATCAATGAAAAGCGGAGTTGTGTGAACCCGTTGCTTCGAGACCCCGAAAGACAAGTTTGAAGCAATCAGCTAAATGGAGCACAGGATGCAAAGTCTTAATGGCTTTTTGCTCTTTTCGACTGTTCGGCGTTGGATTTTCCGATTTTATTTATAATCTTCACTCGGCTTTCACGTAGTTTTTTCCACTTTCAGCACGAACAATTGCCTAGTAGGTATGTAGAAAGACTGTTTTTCGAATTATACCTTATAAGAAAGTATGAAGACCAAGATGGTGTGGTCTTTTTTATGGTTGCAGTCTCCTTCCATTGCATAGAAGTTGCTTGACCTTGTTTTCGCAACTTGGTCATATTGGTAGGAAGACTTATAGGAAACGCACCTTGTCCTGAGTCCTCAAAGTCGGACCGTGGACGCGGTACATTCCCATAAAAAAGACCACACCATCTTGGTCTTCATACTTTCAATCAATCTATGGAAGTAAGATTGCCAAACA